CCCCCCCCAAAAAAAAAAAAAAAAAAAAATACCTTTTCTTTCTCCCTACAGTTTCTTCCTGTTCCCCCATCTCCATCTCCTTTCTCTTCATTGCAGCTTTAAATGATCCCTTGGCCAGCCTCTATTTCTTTGCAAAATAATCATTTTGGCATTGGTCTATCTCATTTTTCCGGTTGACGACAAATGTGTGGTGGTAACAGTATTTCTGGTGATCTTCTTTGGCCGATTGGAACGAAGAAATTGCTTGAAACTTTCAGGGATGGGAAGTAATAGGTGCTTAAGGAGGTTTGTTAATTTTGATTTTGATGAGTGTCGTCGAGATTTCATTTTTTTCGAGGAAAACTTTATCGGAATGGTTTTGATATTTTTTTTTAGAAAGATCTTATGATTTTTTGGACTACTTTCTTGACTGAGGTTTGGTTAAAATATGTCGCAGGATATCAATGGATCATATTTGAACTTTTATCATTGAAAATGGTGGTTGGGCAAGGGAAGATTTTGGCGGAACAATGATGAAGAACAAAGGAAAAAGCAAAAAGAATTAAAATTTTGATAAGTTGGTTTTAAAAAAAATGGGACCCACAAATTACAAATGTCAAATAATAAATTGACACACTATGAGGGAGGAGTTTATTATAAGTAACTTTATCGAGTTGACGTGCTAAAATGGGAAAATCAGAAGTTTATATATACCGGATTTAAAATTTGATGCAGTTTTAGGTGGCCCGGAGGCCTTTTTGCATTCTTGTTTGATAAAGTAGTTCATATTTTCCGAGCATTTTTTTTTGTTTTCATTTGTTAAACAGATAAGATCAATTCAAGCAATTTGTTTGACGAATCATTCTCTGATCAATATTTGAAACCTTGTACTTCTGATATTTCTGCAAATTTTCTTTTTAGACAGACGAGTTAATTCTGTAAAAAATTTAGTAAAATCAATCCCTGAGAAACAAAACAAAAAAATAGCAGTTATATTGAGATGTTAAAGTCTTGAATGCGCATTTCTTTTCTTAATTTCATGATGTGATTACTTTCTTTAATTAAAGGCTTATCCCCCAAACCTCAAAAAAAAAACTGATGATAATAATATTAACCTGAAAATAAAATAATTTAAAGAAAATCGTTAAATTACTCAAATATCAAACGAGAAATAAACATTATAAGCTCCTAATCTTTGTTATTTTATATGACGTGGTCTTAGCCAGCTATATATGTAACGACGAATTGCTTGCTCCTGTTATTCCATAGTGTTCCAATTCTCTTGGGCGGTTCCCTTCTCTCTTCACCCACCCTAAAACTCTCTCCCGAAAAATTACTTACTATGGCTGAGGTTATGAAGAAGATTGTGGAAGAAGTACAAGCTGAATCGAGGAATTTGAAGGAAAAACTGGACTCTCTACGCAAAGACGAACGTCGGGTACAACGTGAACTTGACAATTCCTTGTATTTCTCTTTAAAATCGCTTGGGTTGTCCTTCGCAATGATTGTTGTTCTGGTGCTTGCGTTTTCAAACAAAACTCTAGAATTAGAATGTCCCTTGTTTTACTTGACTGGTTTAGTCCTAATGAGCTTGTCAGCTTTTTGCTGCTATCTCGCATTGATGAAAGTGAAATTTCTCAAAGAAGGTGAGGTGATGGATCAAGTTGAAACCCGATCATCTCTCCGGGATGAAATTAAAGCTGAGATGGTTAAGGTGAGGGGGCTGAAGCAGAGATTGGATGCTGATACATTGGAGATATTGGAGAAGCATCTTCATATAATGGACGAGAGGCTGAAAGGAAAGTCCATTTGTGCATTATCTGCTAGGTGCATCCAGTTCCTTATAGTTTATCTGGAATTTTATTCACTTGGGGTCTGCTGTGTGATTTTGTGGTGCCTCCCAAATGATTTTTGCGCCAAGTGAGTGAATGAAGACGACTCTGTCAAGTATAGTGATTGTGTTTTGTGACTCTGTAGTTAGCCAATCGACTAGTATTGTTCTGATTGTGTTTAGTGACTATCTCTATGTCTAGTTAGCCAAGTGACTAGTAAATCTGGTAGTACTTTGTAGTGATTGTGTAGTGAATAGCTTTGCCTGTTGCTTTTTAGTGTTCAGTTCATTTTAAAAACTCTGTAGCTTGTTATGTAGTGATCGTGTAGTGAATGGCTTTGCCTGTTACTTTTTAGTGTTCAGGTCATTTTAAAAACTCTGTAGCTTGTTTAGCAATTACAGTTTCCTTTTCAATTCTGTTTCTTATATTCTTATAGCAATTCTTGAATGGTTTGTCTGTATTAATTCTATCAATGCCAATGACTGCATCATGGATTTGGCAAGTATTATGGTTTATCTGGGGCTTCGTTTAGGGACAAATATAATAATCAGAGGTGTGTGGCAAGGTGATTGATAAATGTGATAGGAAGCTGGCAGGTTGGAAGAAACAGTTTCAATCTTTTGGTGGTAGACTTCCACCGGTGAGTAGTGTTTTGGATGGGATGCCGACTTATCTGATTCGCTTGTTCCGATTCCCAATAAAGTTGAAACGAGGATAAATTCTTTAAGGAGCAAGCTTTTTTGGGAAGGAAGTGGTGATAGGAGAAAATTTTCTTATGGTGAAATGGCAAACAGTACTGGTGGAGGAAAAAGGAGGGGGACTGGGGGTTAAAAATCTAAAGATGCATAACAAGTTCTTCAAGTGCTTATGAATGTTAAAGGGTAATGGTTGGGAGTTATGGAAGGAGGTGGTTAACGTCAAATATGGCAAAGATGAAATTGGTGCCCCTATCCTGTGTTAATACCTAACGGATTAGCAATTTGGAACCAAATATGCGGATTATGGAATGAATTTCAGCAGTCTATCATCCTAATAGTTGGAAGTGGTGTTAAAATTAAATTTTGGACTGATATGTGGTGTGAGCACGTGATTTTTGCCTTATATATGAATAATTCCCAAAAATTCCAACAAAATAATTTATTTATTTATTTTTACAATTTTTTGTGCATTTTGATATCATTTTCTGATAATGGTTGCCTTTTATTTGTGCATGTTAATTCATATAAAATACAAAAAAATGCATTTGCATTTAGAATACAAAATAGCTCACTTCCGCATTTTAATTGTTTTAATCATAAATTTGGCGTAAAATAGGTTTTAAATAGTTTTAGAATTTAATTAGTCTGGTTTTGAAATATATTAGGACTTTACTTTAATTGTTACAATTTTATAAAATCAGAAAAAATAAATACAAAATTACAAAGTGGAAGATAAAATACAAGAATAGATAAAAGAAATAAAAGAAAAGAAGAAAACAAGAAAGAACAAAATTGGGCTCATCTCAATTTAACCCAAATCCTATACCCAGCTAGTGCCCAATTCGGACCAGCCCAAATCACCCCTCCTTTCCCACGACCCAGGCCCAATCCCTTACCCGGTCCTCCTCCCAGTCGATGAAACGACATCGTTTCCCCAGCCCTCAATCACGACCGTTGGATCTCATCAATCCAACGGTCCGGATCTAACTAGGATGTATATAAGTGTCCGAAATGCCCCCTCCTACCCCATTTGTATCGTCTCCTTCACCCTCCAAACCCTAATCCACGCCGCCCCAAATCCCTCGCCGGCGGTGAACGTCAACTACACCAACGGTCACCTAATTAACACCATCAACTCCCCTCTTCCACCTCTTTCCAGTCCTGTATTTGCTTTTCCTCGAATCCGGCCAGAACTCGTCGAATATCGATTTTAATTTTCCGGCCAGTTCGCAAGTTTGTCCAAACCCGTCCAAAATCATACCACACAATCCCGAGACTTCCATCAACCCAAATCCATGACTGTTTTCTTTCGAATCCTGTTAAAGTAGCTCGGACTTCAAATCTAAAAATTTTCGGTCAAAACCCTAACACAAAATCTTGTGATTTTGGACTGTACTATCCTTAACCA